TAGCTATTTTTTTAAAGCACCCATAACCCTGCTTTTTAATTTTAGTTTATTTTCCGAAATATTTGCAAACACCCCCAACTTTTAGGAATAAGCACTTAAAACTAACTTAAATCACAATCACTAACTTCTGCTTTTAAATAATCATTTGCAAACACCACCTAAGAGAAGCAAAAGCAAAAGCAAAAGTAAAAGCAAAAGCTAATTTTGCAAACATGTGAAAACAGATTATGAGCAAAAAAAAGCTCATAATCACTTTCAAAAAGCTTTTGCAAACACCACCTAATTAATTAATCAATTAATTATATAATTAATTAATTAATAATGCACGTGTTTTTTCTAATTTTGGCGCTCACAAACGTTCAAGCCTAGAAATGAATAACATCACCGCCAAAAACAACTCCATTGACGGCACTTTCTAGAGAGAGAAACACAAAGCACTGTGTGTGTGTGTGTGTGTTTTGACGGAGAAACGAAGAGATGGCTGACGCAATCGAGCCGTTGGACTTCGAGTTTGAAGATACGATTCCAATTTCTCCACCCCTGCCGAAGAAAAGGCAAACCCTACTTTTACCCCCTTGCACCATGTTTTCATGCCCTAATTTCATTTTGGTCGATGTCTGTGTTTACCGAAGTAAAATACTAAGCTTTCTGTAGATTGTCAATCATAAAGGTTGAACAAATTTAATTTTTTTCCCTTTTTTGTTTATGCTCGTGATTCGTGAGTTGAATCTAGTTCGTACTTGTTTTCTCTTTGACTCGGCGTTATAGTGAGTTGGGTTCCGTTTTTTGTGACTTGATTGCATTGATAATTCATGGATTTTGGAGTTATGGAAGTTCCATTTGCGGGATACTGAAATTAGTGGGCTTCTTAAACCTTTGCTATTTGTAATTAATATTACCATTAACTTGTGGTTTCGATTTTTTAGCAGGGTTCTTTTGGGCCGTGTCTGTTCGTACGAATTTTGAAGTTCATTTTATAAACAGTTGGCGGTAGCAAAATTAGGTTTATTTTGGCACGTTCGGTTGCATAAAAGATAGATTGGTTAATAAGTTCATATGAGAACACACACTTGTTTTGGCATGTTATCTTGATTCGATAAAGATGCTGCGATAATCACAATGAAGCGGAAATTAAATTAATTTGTTTCCCTTTTGTGCGGAGCTAGTGGAAAAGAGCAAATAGAACCAACAAGGTCACAAAACATTGCCGTATAATATTAAATGCAAGTTTCCGATTATGTCGTTGTAACTTTTAGTTGAATACTTCATCTGTCAACGCATGTTAAGGTTGTACATAAGGCAGAATTTGTTATACGGATTTGTTTTTTCAATAATTCTATGGTGATTAATTGTGATCAATGAAAACCTCTGGACGTGTACAATCCGAGAATTCCGACAGGATTTGAGTAATTGTATCGTGTGAATATGTATAGATTCTGTGGTGAAATAATCAATTGCCCCCTATCTTATTTTATAGGAAGAAAGTCATCGGTTTGGATGATCTCTTAGAGGATTACAAGAAAGAGCAAAAGAGGCTTGACGAGAGAAAACACAAACAAAAGAGGAGTCGAAAGGTTTTTGAAGCAGAGGATGATGATGATGATGAAGATGATGCAGAAGCACGTCTGTCAGAGTGCGTCGACCAGTGCCAAAAACAGGCATGGGTTATCGATTATTTTGTTTCTTTTCGTGTTATTTTTCTTCACAAAAATTTCCTATTTTCATTTCTTATAAAAAATCTTTTGTAGATAAATCAAATATACGGTGATGATGAGATGCCCTTGTGGGGCATTCGAGTTTTCGGGGATCAGGTTCTATTTTTACGAGCTTCGTCCATATCTTCACTCCACAAAATTTGATTTACCTTTTCGATTTAGTATATTACAGGCCATGTTTTTATTTTAATTATTTTTATTTTTCCATGTGTAACTTTCAGCAAATACTGCCACAGAAAGAGTATCCAGAGCTAAAAAGTTCTGTTCTCCTGCAGTCTTTCACGAAGAATGAGATCAATTCACTGGTCGAGCTAAACATCGAGAAAGGTTTTCAGTATACCGTCTTTTATATTCATGCAATATAGGTTCTTTCAGTCAAATATTTATATTTGGTAAAGCTAAGATTCATGCTTTTCTAGGAGAAAATTTCCTGGAAGGACTATTGATGAATGGATGGCTATTGAACATTGTACGTGCATCAAGTCGTGTCGAAAAATCTATTGCCTCGTGGACATTTAACTTAAGTGAGTGTATAATCATGTGAAATCACGTGTTGAAATTGTCTGTTAAAGCGCTTTCCTCACGATATTCCAGTGTTATATTCATCAAAGGTAGGGTTGACGGAAGCTGCCTGTGAGTTTTGGTGCGCTATTCTCTCATTCAAAAACAAGGTCATTCTTCTCTCAAATATTGCGTTATTTTTTACATGCACGGAAACGAGATATAATTTATTTCAGTTCCTAAATTTTGTGTTTATTTACATCTTATGATGTTACGCAGGCTGATTCCTCTAGCATCAAAATTGACTGGTTACCTAGATATTCCGATCTAAAAAGAGCTCTTCTGGCATATGGTTTTCTTCTGGACTCGCCTTCGAAGCTTTCATCAGATATTGATATGGTTAATGCTGGTAAGCATTTGAATTCGTTTTTAGCCAAAAATACATGCATTCAAATGAGATATGAGGCCCTAATCTAATATATCCTGATCTAAATTGCTTGTTCCTCTGTAATCAAGATTTAAATATGTCGTATCACCGTTGTAATAAAAGTTCATCTTTGTCTGCTCTTCTCATTTTCTGGCAACCTGTTTTAGATTCGGATACAGCAGGACCACCACAAAACATCCGATCTTGGATTAAATTTGCAGGTGTCTGCTGCCGTACGAGGTATGCATATGATATTATAGAGCAACAAACCATATATTCCCTTTTTCTTAAGCCGTTCTTTCTAAGTAAAACTACACTAAGCAGAGTTAGTTGTCGCCAGAACTTTGTGTGATAATGCCGATCATTCCTCTTAATGATCTTGTTCAAGGATTAAATTTGTAATTTACAAAATTTTATATAATCAAGCATTGCACCACAGTTCTGTAAAGATTAACGACATTGAGTACCAATAAGTGACGGGTTTTGCATTTTTGTGTGCAGGGATGCAAATATAATTCTCTCGACTAAAGAAGCAGAAGAATTACTAGTTATAATAATATCTCTCTTTCTAGATCGACAACTACTCGGTCTGTCTATGGTTCTGAACGAGGGCATGCTTTCGGTAATAAATTTCTTCAGAGATGAAGAATGGCCTGACAGCTCTATCGAAGTAGCAAAATCTCTTGCTGACAGGTTATTTTTTATTAACTCAGTTTGATATCTAATTGTTAACTATTGAGAAGTGAGAACTTATACAAGTGGGGTCAGACGAGTCTCGATTCCTGAAATTTTAAAAGCAAATTGATCTGTGTTACATTTTTTTCTCTCGTGATTCCTGAATCTTCTTTGATCCATTTATCGTCACTATACAATCTTTGAATTAGTTAAAAAAAATCATATTTTCATAATAATGTAAATAATGTTCGTAACGAAGATTGCCTTGCAACATTAATTGCTTGAGAGTGGTCGAGAGTATTGTTGGAATTGATGGACGAAGTAAGCAGCTTAGGAGTGCAGTGGCATTCCAATTTCTGATAAAATTGTTGGGCAAAAAGGTAATTACACTTGATTTATTTTGTTTTTTCTATTAATTAATTTAAAAATATATTTCGACATAATACCCTTATTTGCAGGTATATGATACAGAGGAGGTCCTAAGATTGCTAATTTCGATTAATTTAAAAGACAAAATGTGTGATCTCTCGAGAATGTATATATACTTGAATCTGGCAGAAAACTGGCTATTATTCGACCCCATGTTAAGAGATAAAGCACTAGTACGCGAGTTATGGTGCAAATGTCTTCGAAATTGCTCTTCTGGGATAACTATCACCGATCTGAGGTCTTACGCTTCAATTGTAAGCAAACATATATTAAAAAAATAATAATAATAATAACCGTCCCTCTTTTTTTTTTTCATTATTTTCTTGTAATTACGCTTTAGCCAAAATCGAGAAAATACATCAAATTGTAATGTAATTCTTCCTACTATGCAGGTCAGGAGTAAAGCTTCATATCTTCTTCAAGGCTGGGCAAGCAAGTGATCA